ATCGGCAGGCGGACTCTCAACCACCGCGCCACCAGGGAAGCCCTCAACTCATTTTAACTCCCACCGGCTCTGGTTGAAAGTATGTTTCCCCACAAGCTTCACCAACAAAATATTTCATCAAACTCTGTGATCTTTGCCAATCTCAGCTGTAAAAGATGTTACCCGATGTAGCTTCATCTTGCCTTTCCCTTACTGCGAGTGACACTCCATTGCCATTTCTCCTTGCATCCTTTGCCCGTTTTTTTCCCTGTTGGGTTATTGATCTTTTTGTTGATTTTTAGAAACTACTTATATATGACTTTGCAGACATTTTTGCCCCATTTGTGGTTTGTCTTTTGACTCTTCTTTGGGTGGTGGTTGCCGTGCAGATTTTTAAAAATCGGTCTTTTCTTTTGGGGATCCTGGGTTTATTATTTTTAAAATGTATTCCGTGGTTTCTTCTAGTACCTTTTAAGTTCCATTTTCTATGTTTAAATCTCGGATCCGTCTAGAATTCTCTCTTCTATAAGGTGTGAGGTAAGGATCCATTTTTATTTTTTTCCCAAGAGTACCCACTTATGCCAGTACCATTTTTGAAAACCTCATCTCCTGCCTCCACTGATTTGAATTAACCATATTTACCATCTTTAAATTCCATCAGGTAATTGGCTTTATTTCTAGACTTTCGATTCCTTTCCAATGACTTGTCTGTCTCTTCATGTGCCATTTCTACAGTGTTTTGAAGCTTTGTTTATATTTCAGTTACTGGCAGGGCTAGTCTTCCTGTTCTGCTTTTCCAAAATTCTCTCAGCCATTCTTTTTTTTTTTTTTAATCGAGACAAAATTAACGTAAAATAAAATTAACCATTTTAAAGCAAACAATTCAGGGGCGTTAATACATTCACAATGTCGTGCAACCACCTCCTCTATCTAGTTCCAAAACATTTTCATCACTCCAAAAGGAAGCCGCATATGCATTATCAGTCACTGTCTATTTTCCCCTCCCTACGGCTGCTGACAACTACTAATCTGCTTTCTGTCTCTGTGGATCTGCCCATTCTTGTTGTTTCATATAGATAGAACCATAAAATATGTGGCCTTTTATGTCTGGTTTATTTCACTTAGCATAATATATTCAAGATTCATCTGTGCTATAGCACATGTCAGTGTTTCATTCCTGTTTATAGCTGAGTAATATTGCATCGTATGCATCACCACATTTTTGCTTATCCATTTACCTGTCGAATGGGTTGCTTTCACCTTTTGGGTTGCTTTCACCTTTTGGCTATTGTGAATAGTGCTGCATGAGCAGGTACTTGTTGAGTACCTGTTTTCAGCTCTTTGGGGTATATACGTAGGAGCAGAATTGTTAAGTCATATAGTAATTGTGTGTTTAACTCTTTGAAGAATTTTTTTGCCAGACTCTCTTAGCTAGCCTTGCTTATTTTTTCCAAGCGATTTTAGAATCAGTTTATCTAGTTCCACAGAAATTACAATCTGGCTGGTATTTTTATTGGTATCATGTCAAATTTATAAATTAACTTACAGAAAGTTAATACCTTTCTAGCACTTTCCATGAATCTTTTTCATGACTGTTCTGAGGCTGTCCGGTATTGAATGCACATGGCCAAGTGACATGGGCACCATTACTATCCCCATTCTTCACTTGAGGAAGCTGAGACTCTGAGAGTTAAGTTGCCCAAGACCACACAGTATTGGTGCCTCTTCTCAGGGTGGGTTACCCAGAGGGACCACTGGAATGACGAAGAACTTGGACTCTTGAGGCCAAGTGTGACCCCAGTTTAGGGTTTTGATGGAAGGGCCACCCCCTCACCCACTGGACCGCAGTGTTGGCCCTGGAGTATTGATGGCCCCTCATCTCTCCCTTCACCCCAGGCCTGCAGGACAAGCTGAACAAGAGGGACAAAGAGGTGACAGCCTTAACATCCCAGACCGAGATGCTCAGGGCCCAAGTAAGTGGTAAGTCTCCCTCCTTCAAGGCAGATGCGGGGAGCTTTCTTTGGGCCGTGTGCCAGTCCAGCAGTGGGTGGGTGGTACTGCGTCAGGGTGCCCTCCCCCACTCTGCCTTGAGCAGAAGGCAGCCTGGCCCAGTTCACATGCACTGGGCTTCCACCTGGACAGCAGTGAATGGGGAGCAGTAGCCCACGCTCGGTCCGTAATATAATTGGGGGTCCCAGCCAGCTTCTCTCCTCAGAGCCAGGTCTGTGTTCTCTGTGTTCTGAAATTGCATCACTAGTTCTCACTTTCTGGGCTTGAAGACCCTTGGGTTTCAGTCTCTCTACCTTTTGATACAGTATTTGTGCACCAGTCCCTAGAAGAAATACCAGGATTTCAGAATCAGGGGGAAAGACTTTGGCCACAGCAAAAAGCAAGGCACAGGGAGAATGAGGCCAGAGGGAAGACTGGGGAGAGACGGGGGGTCTGGAATTTGTGACTTGGTGACAAACTGGCCCTGCTTCTTGTCCGCCAGAATGCCATTGGTGGTGTCCATGAGACGGCCCACATCCTGGGAAATGGTTCCCACCCCCACTCCTTTCCAGTTCCCATCACGTTCACGTGGCATAATTGGTCCCGACAAAGGTCAGTTGACCTCAGATTCCTCCGGGGCCAAGGTGAAGTTTTAGCTTTTCCTTGTCCAGGCAACGGTGTAAATACTCGGGCCCTGTCTCGGGAAGGGTGGACTGCTTTCCTGACACCAGAGGGCCTGGCTACTGTGTGGGAGCTTTGGTCTGCTTTTCGTAGCTCTTCTCGGCCCCTCGCCGCCTGGCCGTACAGGACAAGAGAGGCCCACTCAGTGGAGTGTGTCCCTGTGACCCCTGGGAAACCTGCTCCCTGCCCGGGCCTTGGCCCCCAGGTGAGACAGGTTCCTACGGTGATCCCGGCGCTCTCCCTCCTTGCCCTGCCGGCTGGCCCTCAGCACTGGAGAGCAAGTGCAGGTCGGGAGAGAAGAAGGCGGACGCCCTCCAGAAGGAGAAGCGGCGCTTGGAGGTGGAGCTGGAGGCCGTGTCCCGGAAGACCCATGACGCCTCGGGCCAGCTGGTGCTCATCAGCCAGGAGCTGCTCAGGAAGGAGCGGTGAGTCAGCCGTGGGCTGTGTGTTCAGACCTGCCTGACCCTCACTCCACCCAGTTAATATTAGCCAGTCTTTTCCCGAGGTGGGGCAGGGATAGACCCGGTGGACAGATGGCTGGCATCGCCGATGATCACCATACTATGCACTGCTAAGCTCCGATGAAGCCTCAGAATCCTTCTTAACACAGTTCTCCAAGCAGAGCTTATAGGAAAGGTTAGTGGTTCCCAAGCATCTTGGGCCCAGGGACTCCTTGAAACTCTTAAAAATTATTGAGGATTCCCACCACCTCTTCCTTGAAGCTCTTCTTGATTGATGTAGGCCACCGTGAGCTCCCCTGTGCTTCTGTGGTACTTAGGATGGGAGTGGGAGATCAGCAGATTAAACAAGTAGAGATTTATTTTCCTCACATAAGAAATCTGGAAGTAGCTGTAGCTGGCATTTGGCTCAGTGGCTCAAGATATCAGTGCCAACACCTTTGTTCTCTTGGGTTCTGCTAGACTCTCCCTCGTGGTTGCAAGGTGGCTGCTGAAGCTCCAGCCATCAGGAGCCATCATTCCTAGCAGGAAGAAGGAGGAGAGGGAAAGGGTCAGGGCCAGCAGACTTCCACTTTGTTCTCAACTACCCATGGCCACCTGGAGAGGGAGTTTTCCCCTCCTGTATAGTAGATGCAAGCAAGGGAAAGA